CATCCGATGATCGCAAGGTGAATGGGCAGCTTAACATAGTCAGTAACTGAACTTCCATGCCATGTTTTTATTGCACATCTACAACTAAATTATCTAGTTGAAACTGGCTCGTGTCTTTGGATTTTCCATTTTTATAGGAATAAATAATACAAAATACTAAGGATATTTTTTCAGAATTTATGTTTCTACTTATTTATATGTAAAGTAAAACCAAGCTTTTGAATATCTTTTGAAATTATATAGTACCTAACAGGCAGTCTATGAAGGGGGGAGGTAGGTGATGATTAAAAGGTTAGCAGCTCCTGCTGTAGAGGCTGCATGGCAGACAGTGCAATCAGCAACCTTAGTAAATGACCACTAAAATTAAGTCTATTACAGTCAATGGACTGGATATTGTAAGAAGGATTCATCACCCATTAATCAAGATTTCTTTGACTGCTCCAAATGGGTCAGGGGCCAGCTTTATTAGAGAGATCCACTGTAACTCAGGAAAGACTGTGACTGCTCTTACAGGGTCATAAGCCTGCCTGGCTGCTTTCACAGGGCCAGCAATTAACAAGACACTGCTTTAAAAGGGCATAATACTGCCAGAATACCTATTCTATTTTTGTGCTAATTTTGGGTATCCTGCACCCCTAAACTCTCTTTCATAGACCTGAGTTCAGCAATAAATAGTAAAAGGACTAAAGTGACTGCTGTCTAACTTATTTTTAACCCCACTATACACCAAGCACTATATCCTTAGATGGAAATAAGCAAGGTTTTACTTGTAAAAATGCTGAATGGCTGGTAAAGATTTGTTCACACCAAAGATCTCCACTCCTATATGAGCAATAAGATTGTCTGCAGGGACTGTAAGTTCAGAGTCCATCAGTGTCCAATTGTTAATTGCTTGTCTTGATGAAGGAGGATACCCGACTTCTAAAACGTATTGGCTGAGCATATGTTCTTGTTGCCATTTGTGAAGCTAAGAAAGGTTGTGTTTTTTTTAGATGATTAACTGGCACTCTTTCTTAGTCTTCATTCATGAGGAACAGAGTGTTGTCCTCCTACAACAGTAAAAATTGCCTTCATGGCAGGATCACCAGATATTATTCTAATGAAAGCTGTGGATTTCACAATATTCAAAATTACATGTAAAAGCTAAGAGTTTTTAGCAACCTTGGACACTGTGGCTGCCCCTCTGCCTCTCCACCTAGGGTTGCCACCTGTCCGGAATTCACCTGGACAGTCCGGTTTTTGAGTCCTGTGTCCGGGTTCCAGGCCAGCTGACACCCTGACACAAGATACTAAGTCTCGATACCAGCACTTTACATTTTTTGACAGATGCGGCTGCCGAGGTCCCCAGCAAGCGCGGGACCTCAAACAGCTGCATCTGCCTGAAGCCGCATATTCCTTTGACCCGTGGGCACCTGTAAACAGGCGCCGGCTCGCAAATCTCCTCTGTCATCCTGACAGCACCCTGCCCACCTCTAGACCCCTGGTGAGACACCGCACAGCCCACACAGCACTCCTGAGAGCCCGCATAGCTCACCTGAGAGCGTGCATAGCCCACCTGAGAGTCCGCATAGCCCACATGAGAGCCCGCATAGCCCACCTGAGAGCCCGCATAGCCCACCTGAGAGCCTGCACAGCCCACCTAAGAGGCATACAAGCCCACCTGAGAGCCCGCACAGCCGTGGTGAGAGCCCGCACAAGCCACCATGGAGACATCAGGGTGCCACCCCAGAAGAACACAGAGTATGTAGCTTAATTTATTTTGTATTGCTGTATAATGTATTGCTGGGATTCCTAGTCCTCTAAATCTGGTCTCCTTACTCCCTCTCCTGGCTGCCTCTCCACGCTCTCTCCTCTATACTCTCCAAAAAATTGCTGTGCGTGGCGCTAGATTGTCTGGGTTTCACTTGAAGAAAAGGTGGCAACCCTAGCTCCACCCCCCCAATACATACAACTACTTCCCACCTCAGGCTTCCTCATTATGGGGATGGCCCTGCTTGCTTCAGGTAATTGACTTACTAAGCAGTGCATCAGAGATGGAATAGACAACCAAGTAATCAACAACAGCTCCCATGTAGGTATCCAGATTCCCTTTAAGTCCACCTCAAGTATGCCTATTTATCAGAAAATAATACATTGAATGGAGCTGCTGTTTAATGTACACAGTGCATTAACTGTAACTGTAGTACATTTATTTGTGCTGTGCGAAGACTTTAAAATGATAAAAAAATCAATATCTCGCTGTCACGGAAGGTACTGTTATGATGCATTTCAGCAGTTAATTGCGGAGTCCTTAGAAGAGCTCCAGGTTTGGTTAATAAGGACTCTTCCCCTCTATACACAGACCATTTAGATGTGATCTGGGTGTGTTGTCACTGAAGGCATGACAAAGAAATATCAAAAACTCTTTCAATATAAGGAATAAATAATACATAACAGAATTAGTTTGCATTCTGATCAACTCGTTTTGCTTGCATTTCAGACCGTGGAATGTTATTAAATTGTCGTAAACCTAAAGATAATCAAATTACAGCACTGACAGTTCACCTGACCGGCACATGAAGGAAGTCGCGACTTATGTCATGTTCAGTTTGAATGACACAAATTAATTTAATAACATGCCTGATAGTATAGCTGGTGTCTTTTTCTTTAAAAAAAAAAAAAATCTAACATAAATATAGATGAATTGAAATCCAGACTGTGCATTTTTTTTTCTCAAAGGAATACATTTGTGGGGTACATCTGATTTAAAACGGGCCTGACAAGCAAAAGTATACCTAAAAAAAAGGTGGCATCTCTTCCTGGCTTTTGCAGCGACAAATAAATAAAAAATGAAGTGGATATGACAATCCTGTTGAAAAGCAGTTTCCACTAGCACCAATTCCACAACAAAAATATGATGTAGAGACTCCATGAGTAAAAGAATTAGGATCCAATGCATGAAATGTGCAGGCTAGGACAGTCAGCCTGGGAAAGAAAGAACCAGATGATGCTATATGCCATTCATCCAGAAAGTGAGGCCGGCTCTATCTGACTTGCCTCAGCTTCTAATGCACACCGAGAAAGCTTGCAGAGTGCAGTGAAATCAGAGTAAGCAATTTCATTACAAGAGAGGGGCCTGTAAAACTGTGCTAGACTGAAAGGTAGGCTGGAGGTCAATTTTAAGGTTAGCATTAGGGTTAAAGATAGGGCACGGGTTAGCATTAGGGTTTGCTTGGATTAACAACAAAGCTATTGGTTCCCATATTAGCATTGATATGGCAGACATCCCAGCTCTCCCGGCGGACGCTCCGGGAGTCTCCCGCTATTAGATAGCGGCTCCCGGAAAGGTTTACTCTGCTCAATTGAGCAGAGTAAACCTTTCCCTGCTCTGTTTTTTTTTTTTCTTCTTCTGACATCGGAGCCGCTGGCCGCCATCAGTCAGAAAAAAAACCAAAATAGCATAGGAATGCATAGCTAGATTCCTATTGGCTATTTCACTTTGCAATAGCCAGTAGAAAACTAGCTATTGAACCCGCCCACTGCTGCTGTCAATCAGCAGAGGGGGACCTGAAGTTCTCCATCAGGTCCTCTTCTAGTGATTGACAGCAGTAGAGGGCGGGTGCAATAGCCAGCATTCCTATGCTGGTTTTTTAAAATTGTATTCAGCTGTCAGAATACTAAAAAAAAACAAAAAAACCTGCAGATAGCAAAGAAGCACCTCCCTGAAATGAGAAGAGCACCTCCCTGAAATTGCTTCTTTCAGGTTGGGATCCCTGATATGGTGATCACATGGCTTTGTTAGAGAACAAAGCCATGTGTTGTGTAATTTCCATGCAAACTTTGCCTGAGAAATCCACATGGAACAATTAATAGCCGATGTAAGTAACATTTCAGTGAAGGAATCCTTAATTTCACAAAATCAAGTATGGTATATATACAGTATATTATACTGCCCTACAGTCTGCAGTGATGGCAAGCCAACTCTGATTCATCATTATTGTGCAGTGGTTATACAGCGGTTTGAGATTTAATCTGTATTTTTGTTTTTTGCATCTTGTTTACCTTTTTTATGTGTAGCTTATCCATCAGATGGGTATGTTTTATTCTCTGCCATTTTTACAGTGTAATATAGGCCTGAAGTGAATTGCTAATCAATTAAAGGACTCTATCTGTAACATTACAAAAAAGATTTGTTTTGCAATAAGCCTCAATGCACTTTAGCATTGCAATGTCTTAAATGACATCAAAAAATAAATATTTCATCTATTTTCTAAGAAGAAATTCCACGCATCTCCTCCACTACACTATACATTAATTTTCTCTTTCTCAGTCCACAGTAACAGAAGTATCATATGTGCCATGTGTGCCTTCTCCATAGTAGAGATTGATGATGTAAATATTGCTGGCTTGGTATATAAAAAAATGGCCTATTAATATGATAGTATTGTTATTATTAAGGTTTTTATTATTATTATTAATGTGAACGCTTAGTGGATGACATTTAGTTTGCTAAATTCCTATGTATAATAAACAATTAGCGTGGGTTTTGTTTTCACTCCTAAAGCTGAAGAATACAAAAAAAAACAAGCTTGTTAACACATAGGGGTCTATTCACTATGCTGCCGAGGGCAGCCGAGTGAATGACCGATCAGAAATGAAGTGAGCCGAACACTGTTCGTCTATTCACTTAGAAAAGACAAGTCCATCGAGTTCAACCACATATGAGAGATTTTAGTGATTGGGTTTACATATACTTTAACATTTTTGTGCTTTGCACGTCCCCTTAACTTTATGTTTCTATAATCTACTATATAGTGATTACTATAACAATGTGGTATTGTGTTACTATTTTTATTTAGTAGTAGTAGTGTTTGTATCCCTTGTTTGTTGCTGTGGGACCATCATATTCTTACCCTACACCTGTTAAGGCACAAGTAATTGTTGAACCTACAACCACCTCTTGTACACCTCTTGTACCTCTTGTACAGGTTTTAATGACAATTAACTTTAATTTCTTTCAGCACCAGAAAAATTACACACACCACTGGTGGAGGGGATCAATAGCACTTCCATGAGGATTGCTTGGTCTGCACCTGTAAAGCTTAATGGGCCTTCACCATTCTACCAGCTGGAGAGAATAGAGCCATCACTGACAATAGACAGTAACATGGACTATGTCAAGGGCACTCACTTTCCGGGCCATGGCTACTACAAATTCCCAGCATCCACCCTGCCTGCAAACACGTATTTCACAGGTAATGTTTATCATAGAAATACCATTTATGTGTAATAAATTTGTAGGTGAACAATGCCCAAATATCTTCCCACTTTAGGAAAAAAAAGGCAGTACTCACCCCTCCTTTCTCCAGTGCTGCTCTCTGATTGCTTCTTGGACAGTCGAAGACCTTCAGTCTTCCACCATCTCAAACATCCACCTGGTTAATGAAGATGCCCACTACCTAAAAGAACCACTGGGGATGCTTGAGATGTAGGAAGGGGTGGAGTCAAACCAAGCATTCACAGGAAGTGTCAAAATTTGCACATAACAGCAGATGCCAATATCAGTGTTTTTGACACGTGGCTTTCCCTAAAATAAACCTCCAATTATGCTGTTTGTTTTGGACAAAATAGGCAGTTCTGAAGCCAAAAGGCTAAGGGCTGGAAGTCATGGAGGGTTTTTAGGCAATTATAGGACCTTCACAGACACTTAAAATTGTGCAAAATATCATATTTTATTAAAGACATTAACAATACAAAACAAAATGTCACGTTTGCTGCTCATCTTGGAAAGCCTCAACACATATGCTATGCTATTTGAATCAACAGGCAATATCGCCATTGCAGTCTTCTCCTCGTTGCTCGGTTTTCTCCTACGGTCCCCTAGGAGGAATCAAGGTCATGACTATTCAAGCCTCTGCAGTCCTGTTTTGCTCACTCCAATGGGAGAATAGCTGCTGCTATATTCATATATGGTTACAATCACCCACATCATGTGTTCCTCCTGATGAAGCCACGGCTGTGGCGAAACACGTATCGGATTTTCTACAACAGTAACCGTCCATTAATTCCAACTAAGGACTCACTGATCATGACTGGTCATCATCTCTGTATATGAGTATACAAGGTTTATGCTTACCAAGTTTAGGCTGAGCACCAATATGCATTTACTGTGTGTTTTTTTGTTTTTGTTATTTTTAATGTCTTTAATAAAATATGATATTTTTATACAATTTTAAGTGTCTGTGAAGGTCCTATCATTGCCTAAAAGCCCTCCATGACTTCCAGCCCTTAGCCTTTTGGCATCGGAACTGTCTCCTTTGTCCACATATTGCTTTATGGGTGTGGCTGTAGGACCTTCCTCTCTTGAACATAGTCTTATTACTAAACTATGCTGTTTATTTCATCATATGCTCAGTTTAAATTTGAAATGCCCAAGTTAAATATAATGTAGATAAATAATATATTAGTAGATTAATAAAACTATCCTGCATGTGGAAAAGGCATGTTTTCAATATAGATGTCAATTAAAACCTGTATGTATGTGCACAATAGATGCAACAGTTTCAGTGTGTATAACTAAATCTGCAGCTGCAGTTACTTATTATAAGATAGATAGATAGATAGATAGATAGATAGATAGATAGATAGATAGATAGATAGATAGATATTTTTTTAAATAGTTCTGACTTCTCAATCATTTTTGTGTCCTAAAAGTTTTCCTCGCCCTGCTGCGAGTGTGGCAGTGCCGGTAATCGGATGAAATATGGTGCCCGGCGCACTCTTCATGCTTGGCTATGAATGATGTACATAATCAAGATTTATTATGTCTTTGAATCCTAATTGCCTGTTATGAATCACAGTTAATCACACAATCAATGTGCAGTTAATGCAAAGTTCATTTAAACATATGCATTTCCTTTACATTTCCAGCACTGACATAGAGGTGACACTCTTTTGTTCTTGTTTTATCGTACGGTATTGATATCACCACTATACTGTATTTTACCTGTGAGTATTTAAAGGGATCATGCACCCAAAATATAAAAAGTATATTTCAGAGATTGCTAAATTATATCACTGTAACTGGAGATGTGTGTTTCACTTATCAGAAACTGTTTGCACAGATTTTGACCTCTATCAGTCATGGTCTATCAAACATTTACAACATAATTCAATACAAAAGGGTTAAAGATTTACTAAAAGAGCAATGTGCACTCTGAGTGGTCAATCATGTGCATGGAAATATTTTAAAAAAATGATTTTGCATTACAAGATGGTGTTTGAAGGAAACACAGTTCTAATAACTAAATTTAAATTTTCTGTTTTTAACCGTGGAGGGTGGAAAATGTTCCACAGATATCATCAGTGAGATGTTGTGGAATTAGATTGCATAAAGCCTGCTCATTTTGTTTTCAGATCTAAACTCTATGGGCAAAAGTATGAGGGAAACCCATCCAAATGTTGAGTTTAGATGTTTCCAGTGAAGGGTATTGTTAATCTTGTATCTTACAAGGACATTTAGACGGTTGTGCACTTCCAGCCTGATGGAAACAGTTTGCGGAAGATCCTTCTCTGTTCAAGTAAGACTGTGCACAAATCCAGCTTTTTTAGACATGCATTGATGAGTTTGCTATGGAACCCAAGTGGCACAGAACCCTGACCTCAACTGTACTGAACACCTTTGGGAAAAAATAAATGCCAATTGTGAGCCTTTCTTCTCATTCCAAATCAGTACATGACCTTAAATGCTCTTTTGGCTGGATAGGCTCAAATTCCCACAGACATTCCAAAATCTTATGGAAAGCCCTGCCACAAGAGTAGAAAAACCTTCCCCACACTACAATATCATCTAGTTTATGTTGGCATCTGCTCCTACATCTTCATGTACAATGTAGGACCTGTGGTGGCCCTGGTCCTGTCTTGTATGTGACAATGTTGGTGAGAGGGGTAGAGGCATGACTAATCTGAGACTTCAAGGAACCAGTTGTCAAAAACAGAACCGGCTGGGAGAACACTGTGGGTCCCTTTGAGATTTAAGTATATATTACTCACTTTCTGGTCTTTCCCTAGAAAAAGGAGCAAAGGAGCATTCTTTTCTTTATCAGCTGGGGGGAAGGGGGGTGTGAATTATTGTATTACTTCCCAGAGTTAGGCTTTACCTATGTTCCAACCCTTCACCGTTCTATCCAATACCAAAAAACTATTTTTAAAAAAAAGTGAGATTTTCCCTCACCTAGAAAAAAATACAGGGTGAAGATGAATACTACAATAAGAATCTCTAATTCTCCCCTACTCTATCTAAAACAAAAATAGAAAGTTTGGGCTTTGGATAGAGTATAAGCTAAGATTGTATCAAAAGTATTTTTTAAAAAGGTTACATTAAGTACACGGCTATGTGTCAGTCTAAAGCATTTTTGGACTCTACCTGGTCTGGCCACCTGCTGGGGAACACCAGCTATTCATTAAAGAAGAAGGTGAGTGTTTGGTTGGTCGGTTGGGTGGTTGGCACCTTTCAGGCAGAAACCAGATGAATCTGGTAGTCTAGTGCAGGAGGTAAGGGGATGTAAATTAGAGGGGCTGTGCAGGTAAGCTGCATCCCTGGAGCCTATTTAAATGAAAAGTGTTCATCTCTGACTGAAGTGTACCTTTAATTAGCATGAGATATAATATTAATGGGTAAAATGAAGAGACTCTGGATAACGTTGAACAAGTCTTCCCTGATTTAGCAAGCATTAACCTGGTATTGATTTATTTGGGATATAAATGGTCGTGCCGACAACCTGAAGACTAGACTTCTTAAAATTGCTGACCCAATTACTATTAAACCTTTTGATGACACATTAATACGTCCATTTGGACTAGTAAAATACAGCCCTCTAGAAGTCTGCTGGATGTTCCGGGTTTGAAAAATGGAGACATAAGTTTATTTAAAATAATTATTGACCTGAGCTAACCTCTTCATTTCATACCCACTGATCATTCCTGAGGTAAGTAATTAGATTTTTATAGCTGGAGATTATAATCAATGTTATACAGCCATCTTTATTGATTCAATCAAGGCCTTTGCTCTAGCGCTCACTAACTATTTCAACAAAACTTGTAACTCTTCAATTACAAATACAATCAGGAAAATTGATACTTGGAATGCAGAGGTGAAAGCTGTAAGATATCAGAGTCTTAGGTAGTTTGGTAATATGGGAAGGTATTAATTACTTAATATGAGTTGATTCATCTGCTCAAGCTTAGACTAGAGTGGGATCTGGACAATTTCAAGGAAGTCAATGATTCAAAGTGTAAAACTTTTTGTGTAGTTCTTTTATCTCTCTATTAATCCTTCGCACTGTTCCCAGCATGCTTTGTGAGGGCTATTAAATCAATACTTTGCTTACAGTACCACATTCATTAATCATGTGACCTGCAGTTGTGGTGTCAACAACCCCTGCAAAGTTTTAGGCAGGCTCCAGTGTAAGGTTAAGTGAAATTGAGGTTTTTAAATTTCTCCATTATTTTGGGCACAATTGGAGGATTTCAACCAAATGTTGCCATTTTGCTGAAATGCATCGCAGTCAATGGGGAAAGCAAAATTGAGGTAATTTCTGATGGTTTTTAGGGAAGTCATTCCAGCTTAGAACCCACATGTTCTTCACTAGGAACATGGAAGAGCATGCGCATCCAAAGCTGGAGTGCAAACATGAGTTGAGAAATTTTAGGTGCACACCTTACATCAAAGTGATCAGAGAGATAGAGAGTTCGGAAATAACTATGATGATGGTTGGCATTGTCATTATCAGTCTGAAAGTGTGTAGTTCGTTATCAGCAGGTCAAAATGTTTGTGATGAGAACTCATGCCTGAGGAAGGAATTACAATTGTGGCTCCAAAACCTCACTCATACCGTATGTGTTCATTAAAATTGCTTTGGACAAGCATAGGTGTGCTGATGACGAACAACTCACTTCCAAGCTGTAGTGCAACACCAGGCACCTACCAAACCATTAGTGTCCTCTGTTTTTGAATAAGTTAATTACTTTAAACAATAATATAAATGGATGTAGGTGTCAGGTGTCATTATATCTTTGGATATTTATTGGCATTTATTGGAACAGAAAAATATTGTCTTCCATAAATAGAACAATGATCTTTAAATGGCTCCTGAAGCTTACAGAAGGTCCTTCCAGTTGCCCAACAGCAACCCTCATAAGCCCCATTATTTCCGGTTTGTTCAAAACAAAGAATAAACAGTGCAAGAAAAACAAA